CTGCCACCAAGTCCTCTGCAGACCCAGTTCTTGGAGAAGTTTGAGGGTTTAGGGTTTAGAGTTTGGGCTTATCACAATGAGTCTAAACCAACACAGGAGTTTACCCTGGCGCGCTTGCCTCCCTCTCGCATCACCGACAACATGCTGCTGACCACGTGACTGGGCTTCTCCTAAACCCAGAAACCCCAACCCCTAAACCCTAAACCCTAAACCCTCAAGGCCCTAAACCCGAATCCCTAAGCCCTAAACCCTAGACCCTAGACCCTAAACCCTAAACCCTTAACCCCAAGCCTGCCCCGAGCCCTGAAGCCGAAGCTGGGTTCTTGAGCTTCAACTAAGTTACCACAAACAGGGATACGATCTTGTTTGCTAGAAGAAAAAGCCTCTTCTGGCAACTTGCCTGGTGGTACCCTTTTGCCCTGCTTCTGCGCAAAAAAAAGCTGTACCCTTATTACGATAGGGTTGCTGGGCTACCATGAAGGTCCTTCACCAGAGCCCGCCGAGGCCCCGGGTTTATCCCAAAATCGGGATACCCAGTTCTGGGGGATCAAATAATCCTACCAGTATCGGATCTAATAGTCCTACCAGTACCAGTGCCTAGGGAGGAGGCACGGGGGGTGGGGGGGGGGGGGGGGGAATTCAAACCTTGGTAGCTCAGTGGTACCCTTTACCCTTTACCCTTGTTTTTTTTGCTCTGGGTTCCCTTATGAAAGTAGCCCACCAAAACAAGGGTGCCCTTATTATAATATGGTTACCGGGCTACCAAGAAACGCTAAGCCCTAGACCTTATGTCGGGAAGTCCCAAATGGCTTCTCGTGCGGCGCCAAGCTCACCCTGAGGCGTGAACCCTAAACCCTGAAACCCCGAAACTCCCGACACCCTAAACCCTATACCCTAAACCCTAAACCCTAAACCCTAAACCCTACTCCCAAGCCGAGGCAGCTGGAGCGAGCACTTGCTGTCTTTGCAACTGGGCTCCTTGGCGCGTTTGGGCACGGATACAAGGGTTCAGGGTTTAGGCTTTAGGGCTTAGGGTTTAGGGTTTTTAGGGTTTAGGGTTCAGGGGTTCATGGTTTAGGGTACAGGGTTCAGGGTTTTTGCAGCTTGCAGTGAGGCTGACCCCGGCCAACAACAGATGTGGGGTTGAGGGTTTGGGGTTTAAAGTTTGGGTTTAGGGTTCCGATGCCGACCCCCTAAACCCTAAACCCTAAAGCCTAAACCCTAAACCCTAAACCCCCTAAACCCTAAACCCTGGAGCCCTGAAATCCCCGCACCCATCAACTTGACCAAGCCCTGCAGCACTCTAAAGCCCCCACACTCCCCACTCCCATTTTCCCTAGAACCTACTGGCCCCCCAAACAACAAGAAGCCCTATTCTTGGTGAATGTGTCTTAATTACGATCTGGAAGCACGAGGCTACAGCCACAATAAAGCAACCCGTATTGTTGTCCATTCATCTGTATCTATCTATGTATTATTCTCATGGTCTTACAGGAACTAGGACCCGGAGTAGGCCCGTATTTCCTTATTTTGTGGTTTCGGTTCCCTCCTAACCCCCTGAAACTTACCACCAAAAAGGGCACCCTTTTTGTTTCTTGGCTACTCCAACCCTAAACCCCAAACCCTAAACCCTAAACCCTAAACCCTAAACCCTAAACCCTAAACCCTAAACCCTAAACCCTAACTAGCCTGAACAGAAGAACATGAAACCCGAGAAGGTTGGCCCTGGTCATGGCGTCTGTCTTCACGTCCATCGTGACCAACGACATCTCCGACATCCGCCGATTCCACAGCGTGCCGCTGGGCCCAGCGCTTTAGGGTTTTGGGGTGGTGGGTTTAGGGTTTAGGGTTTAGGGTTTGGGGTTTGGGGTTTGGGGTTTGGGTTTCGGGTGGTGGGTTTGGGGTTTAGGGTGATTAGAGTTCTGAGAGTTCTACCCCTAAGTTCGAGCGCTGATTCTTCAGTGCTTAGGGCTCATTGTTTCTGAATCAAGCGCTAAGCGCCGGAATCTATTTCGAGAATCCGTTAGGGGCACTGCCAAGCATCCTTTAAAGTGTTTAGGGTTTAGGGTTTAGGGTAATGCACAAGCACCAAGCGCCCGGCATGAGGTCCTGTCAGATCTCGGTTTTAGGGTCTGTTCGTGGTCTGAGACGGCTTAGGGTTTAGGCCGTTCGTGAGCTTAGGTTGCTTAAGGGTTTTATGGTTGTCGGTTCTTGGGTGGGTTGAGGTCGGGGAGGGTACGCAGGTGCACAAATCCTGAACCCCAGAATCCAGCTGCTTTTCCAAGAGCAAAACTAAACCCTTTAGACCTTGTAGACGGCTCATGACAAGCTGCGCTGGCCGAGGCAGCAGCAGGCGGAGAATCAGGTCTCTGACTACATCAGGAGCTGGGCCACGGTTTAGGGTTTAGGGTTTGGTTTAGGTGCAGAACCCGAAGCACGCGAAGCCGCACATTCCACAAGGTCTTGAAAGTAGCAAGAACATGGGAAATGTGTCAATGATAACGGTTGGCTTCCTTTCGGCGCAGGGTTCATTGCCAGACTGCAAAGCCTACAGTACATTGCCAGCACGCCTGGAGGACTTACCCAGTTCCCTGGAAGCTTGAAGCGGAGTTGAAAGCGCTTCTCGGGCTTAGCTGGTTGGGGCTGGTAGAATGGCCCCTGCCCCAGTTCTCATGTAGAGAGACTGCCCAAACTACGTTCAGCAGCTCTTACAAAATCGAAATCCTAACCATGAGGTCCTCTCAGCCCTAAACTCCTAAACCCTAAATCCCAAGCGCCCTAATCCGAAACTCCTGAACCCCTTCATCTCTACACTCCTACACTCCGAAACCCTAAACCCCCTTCATCCCTAGGTTCCTAAACTCCTAAACCCCTTCATCCGAAAACTCCTAAACTCCTAAACCCCATCATCCCGAAACTCCTGAACTCCTAACCTCCTGAAGAACCCGAAACTCCTCAACTCCTGAACGCCTAAGGCCTGAAACCTAAACCCTTTCATGTTTGAAGGCCCTCAAGGAACCTCAATCTAGTATTCGGTATCTAGCATATCGTATATTGTAAGTGGCATATGGTATATACTAAATAGTACACTGTACATCGTAGACTCAGGGGGGGGGGGGGCTTTTCTGCCCTCCACAGCCAAGCCTGAGCGCCACAGGGCCACCCTATAGTGGAGGGTTTAGGGTTTAGGGTTTAGGGTTTAATGCCATCCGAGTTCTTAGTACAGGCAAGGGAATTGGGGCTTATTATGGGTTTCAAGTTTAGGGTTTAGGGTTTTGGGTTCCCGGCTTTTAGGGGCTTAGGGTTTTCTGAGGTTCCGAGGATGAGGATTACGTTTTTGGACAGTATTCGGGGCAGCCCTATTTTGGGACATGCAGGGTTCAGGGTTTAGGGTTTAGGGTTTTGACTGGACAATAGGTTACATTCAACCACGACTTTCATGATGGTTTTTTCGTGCGTCTGTTTGTACACATGGCTGCTTGGCGAGGGTTTTTTTGGAGAAGCGCACACCGGCGTTCAAAAAACACTCCAATCATCCTGAAACAGTGCCGAAGCCTTCGACCATGTCCTCAGGTAAGGGGCTACAGGGGCCACCTTCACGATCACTAAATCCTAAATCCTAAACCCTAAACCCTAAACCCTAAACCCTAAACCCTAAACCGTTTTGTCCGCTGGCTGAGGTATCTCCAACGCCGGAAGACCCTGGCGCCTGGGCGGAGCATTCCAGCAGCTTGCGGTAAGCCTAAACCCTAAACCTAAGCCCTAAGGGTTTAGGGTTTCGGGCCAGAAACTACCCTAAACCTTATACATGTCTAATCTATATAACCATATACCCGAAACTCCAACGTAACCCCGAAATCGTAACAACTTCAAGCGGCGGCGACCCGAAATTATGACTAAGGGCTTTAGGGATTTCAGGGGATACAAGCAATAAAAGGGCCACGCTTCAGAACATAACGTAGTGGGGAGACAGCCTGCAAAAAAGAACATGAATCCACAAGAGCTCGACTCTGAACCCCGAGCTCGCGAAAAAAACTACGCCCAAGCATCCTCACATGCTGCCTTGAGTTCGTACTTCCCTAAACCCTAAACCCTAAACCCTAAACCCTAAACCCTAAACCCTAAACCCTACATCCTACAACCCCCCACGAAGGGCAGTTCAAGGGACTGGGTGGGCTTGCCCTACACACCCTAAGCCCTAAGCCCCAAACGTTAAACCTCAAACCCTAGAAGCCTAGACCCCAACTTCCACATCCCTAAAAACCCTAGAGTAGAACTAGGGTTAGGGTCTCTAGGGTTCAGGGTTTAGGGTTAGGGTTTAGGGTTTAGGGTTTAGGGTTCAGGGTTTAGGGTTTAGGCTACCCAAACCCTACTAACCTTACAATCTTACCCGCACGCTAGCAACCTGAAGCCTGGGCCGTAGGACCTGTGTCGGCGAGAAGCTTACAGGCTTCTTAAGGGAACGGGATTCAAGGGGGGGGGGGGATGTAACCCAAGGTTTCCTAATACTCCAATACTCCCCACTACTGCCTACGGCTCCCTAAGCTTCTCTAAGGTTCCCTAGGTACCTAGCTGCCATGAACCTCCCTAAACCCTGAAACCCCGTGAACATCCCTCCCTTACCCTATAAGAAGGTGCACCCACCTGGCAAGAGCGAGATGGCGACGCTACTCCCAGCTTCTTGGTTTAGGTCTGCTTTTGGCCTCAGCTTTCAGGGGTTCAGGGTTTAGGATTTCCAGGGTTTCCAGGGTCTCCATCCAGGGTCTGCAGGGTTTGCAGGCCTTCTGCCTTCAAGATCCAAAGTTCTCAGTCAGCGCACCCAGAGCTGAGTGGTATTTGCAAGTCTTGTAGCTATGCCGGATCCCAAATCCCCATGTTGTGCCCGACAAGCTGGACCCTGTACCCTAGACATGTAAGCATGTCTTCTGCTACCAGTAGGCATGTCGGACCGTCACGGTTGGGCAGTCATCTCTCTGCTTGAGTACCCCGGTTTTGGAGTTATGGGTTCCCAGCGACACCCACTTTGCCTGACTCCTACCACAAACTACTATTTGCTGAAAGACCCCTCCCCAAAATAAGCTGAACAATTCTTCCTCACAAGGGCAATATAGGAATCTTTTTTCTACGGCGCGGTCCGTAGTCTTCGATCATTCACTCATGGCGGGCCGGTGCGGCCGATCCCGAAGGTTCAACAGACGTAGTTCCAGGAATGATCTTCAGGGTTTAGGGTTTCGGGTTTCGGGTTAGGGTTTCGGGCTTAGGATTCTGAACCAGAACGTTCGCAAAGCCATCCCGCTTTGTAGCCCGACTTCTGCCCGCGCACCCAGGACTTCCTCTACCGTGAGCTCTGCCGGGAGTCGTGGTCCCCGCTGCTGATGAATCACGATGCTGGGCTCCGGATTCAGTACTCAAGTTTCGAGCATCACAAACGGCTGCAAGACGAGTAGAGAAGGCATGCTCACTGTGGTTTAGGCCTGGTTGCCTTGCCGCATCTTTCATATCCGCACAGCACCAGGGGCCAGGGGGCCCTTGGGAGTCTAGTGAAGGAGAAGAACCCCCGAACTCCCTTCGGCTGTATTCTTAAGCGTTTATCGGTCTGCCCGGTTCAGGCTTTATGGAATTGCCCTAAACCTTAAACCCTAAACCCTAAACCCTAAACCCTAAACCCTATGTGATTAATATTTCGGGTCTGGCGTCTTCTGAACCTAGTTGGGCTTAATAGGGGGTACTCTATGGGCACGACCTCTTGGCACCCTTTTGCCCTTTTTTGGTTGTAGGTTCCCTTAGAAGTAACCAAGCCCAAAAGGGGTACCCTGATTATACCACCTTCGAGCCAATGCTGTAATACATCCTCAGCCCTAGGGTTTAGGGTTTAGGGCTTAAGGTTTAGGGTTTTAGGGTTTAGGGTTTAGGGTGTTGGGCTTTAGTAGTGTTGCCCTTTTGCCCTTTGTTTTCGTTCCCCCTCCCAAAGGAATCAACCCCCAAAAAGGGTACCCTTATTGTAATACGGTTCCTGGGCCACCAAGAACCCCAACCCACATACATAACGCTCCAAGGACCCTCATTTCAAGGTTTTGGGGGCCCAAAGGCCCTAAACCCCAAACCCTAAACCCTAAACCCTAAACCCTAAACCCTAAACCCTAAACCCTAAACCCTATATTAAGCCTAAAGGGTATACTTTGAAGCCTTGAAACTCTGAGCTGCCATCCCTACAAGCGACGAATCTTCCCGGATTTCACATGGAAGGGTTGAGGGCCTAGGGTCCGACAACCCATGTGAACCTTACAAGCTCGGGTTTGGGGTTTAGGGTTTGGGGTTTAGGGTTTAGGGTTTAGGGTTTAGGGTTTACGGTTTAGGGTTTAGGGTTTAGGGTTTAGGGCAACGCTGAACGCTTTGCCGAAGCCATGAACCACCTCAGGACTTCTTACACGGCCTCCAACTGCGCTACGCGGTCTTCTACACAGAGCTCTGCGTGGAATGCATCAGCGACTGGAATCTGGCGCCCCAGGAGGTCTCCGCGGTTTAGGGTTTAGGGTTTAGGGTTTAGGGTTTAGGGTTTAGGGTTCGTGCTTGGAAATCTAGGTAGGCCCTGGGGATATTGTACATTTTCCCTTATCGGGCTGAGAGCGCATCAAGTCTAGGGATGTTTTTCAGAGGTTTTGAAGGGCCATCCTAGTTTCTGGTTTGGGGGGCTTAGGGGTGTTAGGCTTTTAGGGTTTAGGGGTTTAGGCTTTAGGAAAAGCAACATCTCTTGCTGGTTTGGGGGCTTAAGGGGTTTAGGGTTTAGGCATTTGGGGGTTCGGGAACTTAGGGTAGGGGTTTGGGCTTGAGGGTTTACTACACCCAATGGTGTATTTTGCTGCACGGTTTCGGGGTTTGGGGGTTTGGGGGTTTGGGGGCTTGGGGCTGTGCCCCTCGGACTGTGTATGTACATTGCGCCAGCCCTGGTTTTTCCGCAATCCCTGGACCCCAAACCCCAAACCCTAAACCCTTGCCCCTAAACCCCAGACCCTCAGACCTAAACCCTAAACCCTAAACACTAAACCCTAAACCCTAAACCCTAAACCCGAAACCCTAAACCCTAAACCCTAAACCCTTGCCCCAAAACCTCATACTAAACCCGGAACCGTAAACCCTAAACCCCAACTCTGACATTACACCAAAATCATGTCAACGGACCCGCCAAGCCCCTTAAAGTTGAGGTTCAGGGTTGAGGGTTTAGGGTTTTAGGGTTTAGGGTTTGGAGTTTAGGGTTTAGGTCTCGCAGTTCAGGAGTGGAAGTGGAAGGGTTCGTGATGTAGGGTGTTTAGGGGGTTTAGGGCTTTCGGTCCTAGTGTTTCCCTCGCAGTTCCGGCACACCGGCAGGTTCTGTTCTCCTCTGGGCGGAAGTGCTCCAACATGCTCTTCGTGGCGAGCGGGGAAGTCTTTTACAGCTTCTTAGCGGCATGCCCTAAACCCTAGACCCTAAACCCTAAACCCTAAACCCTAAACCCTAAGCCCTAAGCCCTAAGCCCTAAGCCCTAAGCCCTAAGCCCTAAGCCCTAAGCCCTAAGCCCTAAGCCCTAAACCCTGTTCTGCGGTTTCAGAGAGCTAGCTAGGGTAAAGGATATCACTCTTTCAGATTGCGGAGCGTTCAGGGTCAAAAGGGTGGTTTAGGGTTTGGGGCTTAGGGTGGTTTAGGCTTTAGGGTTTAGGGTGGTTGAAGTTTAGAGTTTAGGGTTTAGGGTTTAGGCTTTAGGGTTTAGGGTTTAGGGTGGTTGAAGTTTAGGGTGTTGGTTTCGGGAATGCGCAGAGCCCTGTTGAGACCTTGTGTATGACAGAGAAATGGATTTTGCCTGAGTTGCTGGCATACATCCCTGTGAAAAGGGAAAGCTGGTCAACCGGGGGAACCTCCTGGTTAGTAGTCCCCACTGCGGTTTTGGGGATATGGGCCGGAGGTGACCCCCAAACACCAAAACTCAGCTCCAAAACCCTGAACCCTAACCCCTATGCCCTAAACCCTAAACCCTAACCCCCTAACCCCTGACCCCTGAAGAACGTCAAATCCTAGACCATGCCCTGATCCTGCGTCACCCTAAACCCTAAATCCTAAATCCTGAACCCTAAACCCTGCACCCTTAACCCTAAACCCTAAATCCTAAACCCTCAACTCGAAACCCTAAACCCTAAACGCTGAACCCTCAACCCTCAACCCTCGACCCTCAACCCTCAACCCTCAACCCTCAACCCTCAACCCTCAACCCTCAACCCTAAACCCTAAACCCTAACCCTACCCTAAACCCTAAACCCTAAACCCTAAACCCTAAACCCTAAACCCTAAACCCTAAACCCTAAACCCTAAACCCTAAACCCTAAACCCTAAACCCTAAACCCTAAACCCTAAACCCTAAACCCTAAACCCTAAACCCTAAACCCTAAACCCTAAACCCTAAACCCTAAACCCTAAACCCTTCACTTCCGCAGGTACTTCTTCTTCATCGACGCGTCGAACGGCAGAGCAGCCAATACACGGGAAGGACTTCCACACAGCCACTCTGGAAGCCTAGGGTTCAGGGTTCAGGGTTCAGGGTTCAGGGTTCAGGGTTCAGGGTTCAGGGTTTAGGGTTTAGGGTTTAGGGTTTAGGGTTTAGGGCTAGGAATTCGGGTTTAGGGGAACTAGGATCATTCGGGGTATTTGGCAGGTTCTATGGGTTATTATGATGCTTGTGTAGGGATGTTAGGGTCGGGTTTGCCCATTACATGCCTTGTAGAGGTGAAGATACCTCAAGAATTTTGGCATCAACTGTGACTTTACGAACCCCTAAGCCCTGAACCCGAAGCCCTAAACCCTAAACCCTAAACCCTAAACCCTAAACCCTAAACCCTAAACCCTAAACCCTAAACCCTAAACCCTAAACCCTAAACCCTAAACCCTAAACCCTTAGCGGACGGGGCGGAGGGGAGAGACGCTGCGACCTAGACAAGGTGCAGGTCGGATCTATGGCTGTCGACTTGGAGGTTCATGGGTGATTCTTTCGTGGAGGAACCCTAAACCCTAAACCCTAAACCAAGGCCCCAAATGAGGCATGACCAGGTCGTAATCTAGTGTAACCGCAGCTGCCCTACTTCGAGCCCTAGTCAGTATTCATACCCATGAGCCGGCAAGCAGCGAGGATTAACGCATTCTGGGTTTGGGGTATAGGGTTTAAGGGTTCAAGGGTTTTTGGGTTTAGGGTTTAGGGTTAGGGTTTTGGGTTTTGGGCTTCGGGTCTAGGGCAAACTCTGGCAGAGCCAGAGTAGGCCCTCTTCCCCCTAACAAAATAGGGTCTATGTTCCCTTCATGAGCCCCTTTTCAGCCAACAAGGGCACCCTTGTTTTTCCTAGTTTACTCTTGGGTCTCATTATAGAGCAGGGTTTACGAACCCTAAGGCCGAATCCCTACAGGGCGGGGTTACTTACTTGGAGGATCGGGGCACTTAGTAGTACCCTAACTGGGCTGATAAAGCAACAATAAGTATAGTTACCTTACTGATACCCCGCTTACTAAGTCCCCTGATCTAGGGGTCAAGTTCAAGCAGTCGAGGTGATGCCCAGTGACGATCTCCAGTTGATCGATCAGACCTTGGGACCAGGACTTCTAGAGCCTTTAAGCAGCCTTTCGGTTGGCTGTTGCAGGCCAACACCCTGAACCCTCAAATCCCAAGTCCTAAACCCTAAACCCTTAAACCCACAACCCCCCCCCCCCCCCCCCAAACCCTGAATATCCCTTAATCTTACACCCTCGAAGCCCTTAAACCCTAAAACCCCAAACAGGGGCTTGCATAGCAGGGGTTGATGGGGGGGGTCGCTTACGGATGCCGTTCATGTTATGAAGATGAAGACGATGCAGGGGGTTTAAGGAGCAACGGGAGGCTGTGTGCTGCTTGTTGTTCTGTTCCAGTCTACGAACCCTGAGGCGGTTTCAAGAGGCTCGCAAAATCCTGAACCCCAAGCCCTGAGCCCAAAACCCTCAACCTCAGAGCCTCTGCCAGCCTTTGCTTAAGGAACCCAAAAGAAGCTAATCCTAAAGCCTAAGCCCTTTGGGGATTTTGAGGCAACGAAAACGAGTCGTGTCAGGGCAAGCCTTAGCCCTTAGAGGGGAACTTGCACACGAAGATGAGGGACCAAAGTTTCAGGAGTTAAGGGTTTAGGGTTTAGGGTTTCAGTTTAGGGTTCTGGTTTCAGTTTAGGGGTCTGGGTTCTGGGTTTTCGGGTTCAGCATGTTAGGTGTTTAGGGTTTAGGGTTTCGGGTTCAGGTTTAGGCTTTGAGGGGCAGATTGGGGACGTGGCCATGGCCGCGCTCAGACTGCATAGCTTATGGACCTCGAAAGCCACCCGTTACGCTGGCCACCAGCCTCACCCTAAACCCTAAACCCTAAACCCTGAACCCTCTGGCACTGTAAGCGACGGCTCTTATCAAGGCCATGGTTAGGTGTCTAGGTTCGTCCTCAGCCAACCTTGCACCAAAGCACCCTACATGAATCCCAAACCCTAGATGGGTAGTTGAGCTATCGGGTCCTACATAAAGTACGGCAGCCTGTAGAAAGGACACCTAACAAGGGACCATAACCCTAAACGCTAAACTCTAAACGCTAAACCCTAAACCCTAAACCCTAAACCCTAAACCCTAAACCCTAAACCCCAAACCCCAAACCCTAAACCCTAACCAGGAGATTGGTTGTGCGAGCAATGCCTCTGGACTCCCTGGCACTACCGTGGCAGAGCAGAATCCCTTGCAGGAGCGCTGGCCCAACGGGTGGAGCCGGGTTTAGGGTTTAGGGTTTAGGCTTTGGGGTGAAGGGCTTTCGAGTTTGCAGGCGGGTTGTTTGAAGTTTCGGGTTTCGGGTTTCAGGTTCCGGCTTTCAGGAGTTTAGGGCGAGTTGTGGGAATTTTGCCGGGCGATGGATCTGGGAGCTTCGCCTAGCTATTTTTAGAGTTGAGTCGCATCACAAGCTCCGGGCCGCTTTTGAGCAAGCATTTGGATGTAGGGGTTTAGGGTTTAGGGTTTATTTAGGGTTTTGGGTTTAGGGTTTTGGGTTTTGGGTTTTGGCCCCAAAACGCTCCAAAAAGGAGCGACGATGCTTTGCCTGAGCGATGACAAGCTTCAGAAGGCCGCGTCCGTCCACAAGGACATGCACAAGGGGGTTTGGGGTTTAGGGTTTAGGGCTAGGGTTTAGGGTTTAGGTTTGAGGGTTCCGGGTTTAAGGTTTAGGGTTTAGGGCTTACCGAGTTCTCCCATCCGACTCTCATGGAAGGCACAGGATCCGAATCCGACGACAGCCTCCACGTGGATATGGTCAGAGAGATCCTGCAGGCAGGACCACCGGCAACGGCGGCGCCAACGGGCCCGAATCCGGGAGGGTTTAGGGATTTAGGTTTGAGGGTTTAGGGTTTAGGGTTTTTGGGTTTAGGGTTTAGCGTTTAGGGTTTAGGGTTCAGGGTTTAGGGTTTAGGGTTCAGGGTTTAGGGTTTAGGGTTTAGGGTTTAGGGTCCGAAAAACGGCACCGGCACCGACAACTCGAGCAAGCACGGCAGTGGCGGTGCCAAAGAAAATGGGCAGCGGGGCAACAGCCAGTGGGCCTGGTGGGCCGCCTCCGCCTAAGCCGGCTGCAGCTACGAGCACTGGTGGGGTGGGAGGGTTTGGGGTTTTGGCTTTAAGGTTTAGGGTTTAGGGCTACCCATGAAGTCTTAGGGTTTCTAGGGGGAACAGGAACACCCTGATTGCGGCCCCAAACCCTATTGCGGAATAGGATTGGAGCGCAAGACGCTCATCGGCCTTGCAAGCGCAACTTGTTCATGGCAGAACTTGGTAACCTCAAGCTCTCAACCTGCACCATGTCTAAGGGATTCTAAGAGTAGCTATATGCGCCCTTAATATGGTCCCTAACCTCCTGTAAAAGGTTCTGATGTATGGGCTCAGTTTGTGTAGGGTATGTAAGGGCTATGTAAGGGCCCATACTGAGGGACCCTGTAACTACCCTCAGAACTTGGGGACAACTTCAACCTGGGTTCCTTGTGCCCTACATCCGATCTAACGGGTTTAGGGTTTACGGTCTAGGGTTTAGGGTTTAGGGTTTAGGGTTTAGGGTGTTGACCATGCCCTTCAAGACGCGCAAAGTTAAGGTTGACACTGATCCCCAAGGTCTTCATAGCAGGGTTTAGGGTTTAGGGTTTAGGGTTTAGGGTTTAGGGTTTAGGGTTTAGGGTTTAGGGTTTAGGGTTTAGGGGATTCCCCTGTCCCTTCTTGCTGGGGCCTGGTTGGAGCTGATGTAGGGTTTAGAGAGTTTGTGGGCTTCGCTTCTTCGTCAGGTGCCCTGAAAAGGTATGTGGGTCCCAATTCCCGGCCTTCCATCCCCCTGCACTGGCAAAAAGAGGGGTCCGTCTGGTAGACAAGACACGCTAGACTTCTCTATATGGGGGTTTACGAGCACAGAGGACCCCTAATATACATCCCCAAATAGTGGGATTCCCTTATGAGAAGGGCCCCAAATAGCCACCCCTAGTTTCCGAAACCCCGTATAGGCTTTTGGGTTCTTCGACCTGCGCAGGAGGTCGCCACTGAGCTTGTCGTCTATGCCCGACTGTTTGTGTCTGCGCTCAATGCAGCACTTAGCGACGGATTGTCGGATTTGCCCATCGTCCTTCCGTAACTGGACTGCCAACCCTTCAGCATGCTGCTGAAAACCCTAAACCCTAAACCCTAAACCCTAAACCCTAAACCTTCTAGGGCAGTGGCAGCTATAGTAGACCGACCAGGCCGAAGAAGACGCGACATACGATGGTGTGCGTGAGCTAGCGATGATCATCCCAATATCTGTGGACCGCATGGTTCGTTTTGAGCCCTATAGTAAGTCCTAAACCTCACCTAAACCCCAAAAGCTGGTTTCCAGTTTGTTCTTAATGGGACCTATAATAAACCCCAAATCCCTAAACCCTACACCCCAAACCCTAAACCCTAATTGGGAATCAGGGCTTTAGGGTTTAGGAGTTGAGGGGTCAGAGTTCACAGCAAGTGGCAGGGGGAACCCGGGTGTGGCAGGGCGGGATCGTTCAGGCTTCTGCTCTGTCTGAACTGCGGTTCAGGGTTTAGGCGTAGGGTTTAGGGTTTAGGGTTTAGGGTTTAGGGTTTAGTAGGGTTTAGGGTTTAGGGTTTAGGGTTTAGGGTTTAGGGTTTAGGGCTGCACAAACCCTAAACCCTAAACCTTAAAGGAGACCATGGTGCCAGTTTGTTCTGGGACTGCGAGTCCGACAAATGGGAGTTGAGCTAGATGATGGGCCCGAACCCTAAACCCTAAACCCTAAACCCTAAACCCTAAACCCTAAACCCTAGACCCTAGACCCTAGACCCTAAACCCTAAACCCTACACCATCTTAGCAGAACTCTTCCTAGATGTGCTATTGTGTCCTAAGGTCCTCTAAAACGGCCCTCTATCGGCTTGAGCGTGGAGATTACCAGGCCTCATAGCCACTCCTTTACAGGTGGTCTCTTGAAGTAGAGTTTCTGTTTTATAGGGTATATATTCGGCGTTCTTATCAGGGTATTTAGAGGCTATATTAAGGTATAAGGGTAACACTTATCGATGCCAGCGGCCTTTATAACCCCTCCTAGTTCATGGCCGAAACTCTTAAAACCCTGAGCCCTGAACCCGAAACCCCTAATCTTAAGGTAGTTACATGGTCCCTTCGTATGGGCACTCAAAAGGGAGCCCTTATATACCCCATGCAACCTGAAGGTGGTAAGGGGCCATGCTAAGGGGCCATATAACTACCCTTAGACCTACTTGAAGTGGGGTGAGAAGTAAGGCAGCTAAACTTAGAACTACTCATAACCCCGATGAAGGTACTTCTAAGCCGACTTACTCAGTGCCCCGATCCTCCAAGTAGCCCCAAGATGGGCCGACTTGGCTCAATTCCCATCGTGTTGCGGAAATAAAAATTCTTTATTCTGGCTTGAAAGGGCCGACGCTGTCTTCCGGGCAGGGCCCAGACCCTCAGTAGACACCCAGGACGCCCTGACAATAGCTTAGAAAGCAATATATATATATATATATATATGTATATATATATATGTATATTAAGTTAGGTTTTTGTTTGGTTGGAGGAGGGGGGGTTATGGGGTTTAGAGTCGGGTTTGGGGTCTAGGATTTGGGATTTGGGGTTCACGGTTTTTCGTCGCCTATGAAGGGGGAATTAGATGCTGTGGGTGCAGGTACGGCGTTGTGGTTTCTAGGGGTTTAGGGCGCCCAGGAACTTGTCACTTGTAATTAGCACAGGGCCCTAGGATCCAGAGTTTAGAGCGCAGGGTTTAGGGTTTGAGGTTTGAGCAACCTTTAACCTTTTTGGGGTAGTATAATCCCCTTATAATCCCAAAGGTTAACCTTTAGTTCCCCCAGGTTACTGGACAACTAAGGTTAGGATTGGGTGAGAAGTACCCTGAACCTCCAAGCAAGACCTATACCCTAAGAGCCCTAAACTTGGGCCTAACCCCCCCAAACCTTTAAACCCTAACCCTAAACCCTAAACCCTAAACCCCAAACCCTAGACCCTAGACCCTAGACCCTAGACCCTAAACCCTCAACCCTCAACCCTAAACCCTCATCCGCCATCTTGATGCCTTCCGGCCCAGCAAGGCTTAGGGCTCAAGGGCTTTACTTGGAGCGTCGGGGCACTTAGCAAGTAGGGCTATCTATATCCCCCTTGGGAATACTTTTCTTGCTTATGTAAAGCCCAACAGGATATTGAGATTATTATTCTTTAACAAGGTTCTAGGGAGAGTATAGAAGTAGGGTTACAAGTACCTCAGTTGGTACCTGTTGGGGTTTAGAAGTCATTCTAAGTGTGTTTACCTTGCTGATGACCCACTGACTAAGTCCCCTGATCCTTGAAGGAAGGGTTTTTTGGGGTTGTCCGCTTCAGGGTTTTGTGCTTCGGGGTCCGAAAGTTCAAGCGCTTGCGAGGTTAAGGTATTGCAGGGGTTTGGGATTTAGTTATAATGACATCATAGCATAGTGACATCGTAACACAATTTTAATAGCATCGTGCCATAGCACAATACCAGAAACGCACAAGAAGCTTAGGGAGGGTAGAAGCTAGGGGTCGGCATAGCTACGAATAGTATTCCCTTGTGCTCCCTATATTTCAATACTACAACCCCCAAAGCCCTAAACCCTAAACCCTCTTCTAATTATTAAGGCCCCGGGCCTAGATAAATTACTAGGGGGTTAGGACCTGGGACCTCAGTTGAGGTTTAAGGCTTCAAGGCGTCGAGGTTTAAGAGGGCTCCGTTTTTTGCCATGCTGGGCAGGCTTTAGGGTTTAGGGTTTAGGGGTTTATGGGGTTCGGGGTATGCTGGAAGGTTCCCTAAGTAAGGTTATACCCACATACAGCTTAAGTTGCCGTGAACCTCCGGGTGCCCCAAACCTAAACCCTAAAACGGTACTGGTTTCACGTCCGGGAGACGGCTGCGGCATCGACCAGCGGGAAAGGCGTGATGACCCTGGAATTGGCCAGGTCAACCTGTCCGGGTGAACAATCTTGGACCCTTGAGAGTTCTGGGTTTGGGGGTTAGGGCTGGTTTCGGGATTGGTGGACTTAGAAAGCATTGTTTCGACAGAAAAATGGAGTCGTCACGAAACTTGCCGTGCAGTCGTCCATCTTCGGCAGACTTATCGCGGAAAGCTGTTTCTGCCGAGATCCGATGATCTGTTCGAGTCGATTCTTTCAGCTTGCTGACCAGAATGAGTCATACAGGCTCCTACCCCTACGGCCATATCCTATAGTCCTGAAACCCAAAGGGTCCAGATATAGCTTGAACATGCATACTGGGCCTTAGAGGGTTCCTACATGGAACCCTAAACCCTAAACCCTAAACCCTTCGGGAACATGAGTCCTGCAGCGCTTCGAGATTTTCATGGGAGCCCGTGGAAGCTGAAGTGGCATCTCTTGCCGGTTGCCACGCTTCGCAGACTTTCAGGTGCTGCATGTAGGGTTTAGGGTTTAGGGTTTAGGGTTTAGGGTTTAGGGTTTAGGGTTTAGGGTTTAGGTTGTCGAGGCTGCGTTTACGGGAACACTTGATGAAGCATCGGGTGTTGGCTTGTGTCACGTTTCAGCCATCGGCTTTACCCTATGTCTTCACCCTCCCTCACTGCATTGCGCATTTATTTGGTAGCCCAGTGGTACCCTTTTGCACATGTGTTGGTTCTAGGTGCCCTTATAAAGTACATAACCCTAAACCCTAAACCCGAGGCCCAAAAAAGGGTACCCTTGTCATCATATATGGTTACTGGCCTACCAAGTTTTTGGCATGGTCTTTCCACAGGCCGTTTCGAAGGTTGTGGGCATCTCAGCTTCGCGGTTAAGCTTTAGCGCCTGAGGATTTTAGGGGTTTAGGGTTTTAGGGTTTGGGATTTTTGGAGGTTTGTGGGTTTTGGGTGGGGGTGTAGGGTTTTAGGGTTTAGGGGTTTAGGATGTACGGGTTTAGGGGTTTAAGGGTTTTAGGGTTGCAGCCTTTCTGGATCTTAGGGTTTAAGGGTTGAGCATACCTAGCAACCTGTGTGTGGTCTATCGGCCGATTTGGTTTAAAACTCTTTGCCTTCGTTTTGTCGACGCCGAACCGGGGTCTCATGTGTCGCTTTTCCAGCACGTCCAGACGGAACCCTAAACACTAAACCCTAAACCCTAAAACCTAAACCCTAAACCCGAAACCCGAAACCCTAAACCCTAAACCCTAAACCCTAAACCCTAAATCCTAAACCCTAAACCCTAAACCCTAAACCCTAAACCCTAAACCCTAAACCCTAAACCCTAAACCCTAAACCCTAACCCTAAACCCTAAACCCTAAACTTATCAAGCACAGTAGAGCCCTCAGATGCTTGGCCTCGGGCTATAAGCCATAGAGTACCTACGCCCCTTCCCTAACCCCCAACCCCAAACCTTTAAACGCATCTCCTAGATGGTAGTCCTCTAAACTAGGGTCATTTTTTTGGGTCCGCTATTCAATACCGCCCTCTTAGTATAAGGACCAGGCGCCCGTTCGTAGCTCGGCCCCTGGGACAAACGGACCCTGAGGGGACTGGTAAAGGAGGTACCCCCAACAGTCTCAGACCTTGAAGTTGCAGGCAACATTTGGGGAGTGATGTTTCTTGACGGAAGGGGGGAGAGGCGCGGGGGGGGGGGCGAGGGGGGGGGCCGGGGTTTAGGAAGCCCTATACCCTAAGCCCTAAATCCTACTACAGGTTTATAGGTGTCGTGCCAAGTTCTCGCCCAATGTTCCAGCTTGTTTGAGACTCAGTGTGTTCCGGTGTCCGCATGTAGGGTTTAGGGTTTAGGGCTTAGGGTTTAGGGTTTAGGGTTTAGGGTTTAGGGCTTAGGGTTGTCCGCATGTACGGTTCAGGGATAATGGCTCGATGGGCTGTGTTCGTGTTCTGGTAGGGGTTGCTAAACCCTGTCCCCTAAACCCCTCAACCCCGAAGCCCTACACCCTAAACCCCTAAGCCCTAAACCCTGAACCCTAAACCCTAAACCCTAAACCCATAAGCAAAAGGAAAACCTAAAGTGCATGGGAGCCACCACGACCCTGAAAGCCCCAGATCCCAGTCCCCGTTTTGCGTGCTGCGCATCTGGGGCTCGGTTGGCGATGCCGAGGAGGAA